GCAGCCCGGATCAATGCCATGGCCAGGGATGGGGTGGGGGGTACAACTACTGCCAGAGCTGGAGGCAACGGAGTTGGCGGGCATGGTGGGGGATGCAGCCCCAATCAGGGCTGGCATAGTGTGTGTATTGTGGGGGTGGGCAAGTGGAGGGAGCACAGCCTACAGCTGGGTAAGGAGCCTTGACCTCCCCTTGCCCGGAAAACTCCATGGTTTGGGACAACTCAAGCCCCGAGGGGGCCAGACGAGGAAGGTCCGTGTGTGAATACACACACACATGTATAAAGAGAGAGAGAGAGAGAGAGAAGAGTTGGGAAAATAGGGAATAAATGTGATTAGCTGCAAAGTCAAGTTTTTTGCCAGTTGGTTGAATTGTGAATGCAGAAAATGTTACAAAGTAATTAATGCTTTTATGTTTTATGTTTCGTGTGCAACCTTCAAACAATAGTTGGCGACTCCCAAAGAGAAATTTTTTTATAGATTCATTTGCTGAATCAATCTTAACCCCAGTGCTGTGGAATTCCTTTATTGTCAAACTACAAACCTTTACTTGGGGCAAATCCTATTGTACACCGACTATTCTTGACTTCATGGACAACTCCCAAGAGGGGTGGAAAAACATTTTTCATGAATAAATATTGAAAATGTGGAGACACAAACAGCAATATGTACTAAGTGAGTATGTGTATATAATGTAGATGTAGAAATACTTATGATCATGTTCTACATATACATTCATGGTATTGTTTAGTGTCTTGTATTTTGTAAGTACTCATGATGAATGTACAAGTTCATGATTTCATCACTTCTTTCACTCACCTTACAGTATAAATTAAGAATTTCCCTAAGTAGAAACTTGCTTATCCACAGTGGCAGAGCCATTGAAAATTAATAAATGAATAAACACAAGGAAAGCACTTTCTCATTTATTAGACAAGTGTAACTTGATTCTAATTATTTTAAAGTTCATAGTGTAGTAATCTAGTAAGATTAATTGTATAAAGTTAATTATGCAAAAGAGGTATTATGAAACCTCACTACACAGCTCCTCCATTTAAACTTTACTGAGTGGTAGGGAGAGCATTTATTTGAAGAAGTTGTAATATAATGCAGAAAGCAGACCAGAGGGAGTACAGAGAAACAGGAAAAGGAGGGGAGATGCTGAAGAGATAGCAGGGGAACCTAATGACACAAGTAGTGATAGTTCTAAGTGAGTGTGTATATTAATTTTTTTTGTACTGAGCAGTGTTGAATGAAAAAATAAGGTAGTCAAACAAGTCAAAATGAGGTGAATAGAATTCATCTGGCTGTCATTGTGATTGATGCCCTTTATTTTGAACCCAATTTTAATTCTCCACACAAAGCTTCTATTATTATTGCAAACTTTTAAATGAGAAAATTGGTATGTAGGGATATTTTTTATTTCATAGCTGTGATAGTGAGCCAGAAGGAGTTAAGAAACTTGCATGCTTGATAACCCAAATTCTACCTTTAGAGACATATTAGAAAAGTGTTTGAGTGGTACTAAGAGTCATTCCTTATAAATAACTAACAAAGCCAATGTAGACTAGAGTTTTGAAATGTATACTTGTATTGTGCCCTTACTACCAAACCAAACATTCTCTTTTCCCTTCTTATGCTATATATACAGTACCACTAAAGTTACATCAATGCTCATAAATTACTTTAATAACATCAGTTGTGCATGTCCACACAGTGCTTCTTATATCAGCTGAGCACATCCACAATCTTTGCTCTTGCAGCCACACAAAGTTGTTATTGTGGGTAGCTAGCAATACATGATGCAAGTCATCAACTTCTGCTGCTTTGAACTCTGGGAATGGACCACGGGGCAGTGAGCACCATCCTATGATGCAGTTTTCTCCATCCCATCATTCTATGCCATCCCAACAAGTTGCTTCTTACCTCCTTTTGTATAATTTTTCAATAGCCCTCGTATATTGTATGCCTGCCATCTATGCCTAACAACATGGGCCGGTCAGTGGCAGTCCATTCTTTTAATGAGCATTCTGAATACAGCTTGGCTGGTATTACAGTATTTCAAGAGCTGTGAAACAAGTAAATCAATTAGGCTTCTCCTGCTATCTGCCATAGAAACAAATAATTCAAGATTTCTGCTGGTATTCATGGAACAACTTCGCATGGTGGACCATCAGTCTTGGGAAACAATCACTGAGTAGTGGGATCACATCATAAGAACAGCCATATTGAGTCAGACCAAAGGTCCATTTAGCCCAGTATCCTGTCTGCCAACCGTGGCCAATGCCAGATGCCCCAGAAGGAGTGAACACAACAGGTACTCATAACGTGACCCCTTTCCTGTCATCCATTTCTAGACAAACAGAGGCTAAGAATACCATTCTTACCTATCCTGGCTAATAGCCATTGATGGACCTAACCTCCATGAATTTGCCTAGCTCTTTTTAAAACCCTGTTAAAGTCCTTGTCTTCACAACATCCTCTGACAAGGAGTTCCAGAGGTTGACTGTGCGCTGGGTGAAGAAAAGCTTCCTTTTGTTTGTTTTAAACCTGATACCTATTAATTTCATTTGGAGATCCCCTAGTCTTTATGTTACAGAAACAAGTAAATAACTTTTCCTTATTCACTTTTTCCATACCAGTCATGATTTTATACACCTCTATCATATGCTCCCTTAGTCACCTCTTTTCTAAGCTTTTTATCTTTCATCATGAGAGACCTGTTCCAAACCCCTAATAATTTTTGTTGCCCTTCTCTGAACCTTTTCAAGTACCAATATATCTTTTTTTGAGATGAGGCAACCACATTTGTACACAGTATTCAAGATGTGGACGTACCATGGTTTTATAGAGAGGCAATAAGAAAGTCTCTGTCTTATTCTCTATCAATTTTTTAATACCACCTAACATTGTTTTTTTTTTAATGCCTCTGCACATTGAATGGATGTTTTCAGAGAATTATGCACAATGAAAATTCTGCTTCCTGCTTCTGATGTGCTTAAAAACATTTTGCTATTACTTTTTTAGTTTTTGGCTATCTGCTCTTCAAACCCTTTTTGGGATTTTCTTATTATATTTTTACACTTAATTTGACAGAATTTATGCTCTTTTCTATTTCCCTCACTAGGATTTGGCTTCCACTTTTTAAAAGATGTCTTCTTATCTCTCACTGCTTCTTTTACTTGGTTGTTAAGCCATGATGTCACTTTTTGGTTCTCTTACTGTGTTTTTTAATTTGGGGTATACATTTAAGTTGGGCTTCTATTATGGTGTATTTGAAAAGTTCCCCTGCAGTGTGCGGAGATTTTACTTTTGTCACTGTAGCTTTTAATTTCTGTTTAACTAACCTCCTCATTTTTGTGTAGCTCTCCTTTCTGAAATTAAATGCTACAGTTTTGGGCTGCTGAGGTGTTTTTCCCACCACAAGGATGTTAAATTTTATTACATTATGGCCACTATTTCCAAGAGGTCCAGTTATATTTACCTCTTAGACCAGATCCTGTGGTCCATTATGGACTAAATCAAGAATTGCCACTCCCTGTATGGGTTCCAGAACCAGCTGCTCCAAGAAGCAATCATTTAAGGTATCAATAAATTTTATCTTTGCATCCTGTTCCGAGGTGACATGTATCCATGTATGGTATGAAGAGCAGAGGCCACCAAACATTTGGATGCACAAAGCCACTTTCCTGGAATTGCCTGCGGAGCTCACTCCAGCATAGTTGTGCAGGGACGGCAAAATGAGAGCTGCCCTTACTGAGGGAAAGTGAGTGGTGAATGCTATGCAGAAGCTGGCAGCTCAGACTGATACTGTTCAGCCATGAAACTGTTTGGAGTTGGAGCTGCAAAGAATATGTTTTGCAATGTGCTGCAGTGAACAGAAGCAGCACAAAGCAAAACAGAGTGTGAAGGGAGACAATTAATGCAAGACTGGGTCTGGAAAGGACATGGGAGCAGAAAAAGGTGATCTCCTGGAGGGGGAAGACAGAGATTAGATCTCTCTTTACTCTGCAGTCTGAGAACCTCCATGCATGACTGCCCCAGAAACCATTAAGGATGTAAAATCCCTTTAAATTAGTTAACCAGTTAAACATTAACTTTAACCGGTTAACTGATTAAATGGAGATGGGTGGAGGGGTGTTTAAATGGAGCCGATGATGTTTACCTGGCAGCTGGTTAAATGGTTACCCATTAACTTCTCTAGCAGCCACTACAGAATTATGGCAATGCTCTCCCAAACTTCCCTATCCCATTCCAGTGTTCCCAGTCTTCCATAGTACCCTGTGCTCTCCACTCAAAATAACTAGTTTGCCAATTAAAGCTGGAGTTTCACACTGCTATGAGAGCCCTAACTACGAGACTGTTCCTCATTTTTATAACCCCGTGACCAAAAATTTGTTTTTCCTGTTAATAAACTTGAGTGTTTGAAATGAACTGAGTCTTTATTAGTGACATATACACAACTGTCAGTGCCAGCTTTGAAACAATGTGGCTATAGGTTGGAATATTTGCTGAACACAATTGACACAGAGGAAGCAAGCACTAAAGGGGTTACATATGGTGTCAAATAAACACAATGCTCTTTTAAAGCCTCCATGATTTAGATAGCCTCCTTTTGTGCTTCTGTATTACCCTTGTCTTTGGCTGCTCAAAATCAGCAGCTGGCTCCTCAGTTTCAGTGGCTCACCAATGTGAGAGCTTTCCTCCACAAATAATATGCAGAGCAAAGCAGGCCACAATGACCATGGGAATTTTTTTTTAATCACAGAATCATAGAACTGGAAGTGACATCGAGAGGTCATCAAGTCCAGTCCCCTGCACTCATGACAGGACCAAGCACCATCTATACCACCCCTGACCAGTGTTTGTCTAACCTGCTCTTAAAAACCTCCAGTGATGGAGACTTAACAACCTCCCTATTTGTACTGAGGTCTAACTAGACAAAATATAGCATAAAAACATTTTAACATTGGCCAAAGATGCATTCAATGGTCATTTGGTACCTGCTGAATCAGTTGTTGAAGCGTCCCTTTCTGACATGTAGGCTCCCAGCCTGAGGCTTCATGAGCCAGAGTAACAACGGTCTCCAAGGATCACTATGGGCATTTTCCCATCCCTCACTGGGATCTTCTGGACTGAAAGGAAAGAAAGAAAGAAACAAAGAAAGAAAATCTCAGCATGCAGCTTTTTATATATTCAGGCAGATGTGTGCACCATGCATCCTCTATGATCACCCAGATTAATGCCAGTGAAGTGGCCCAGGAGATGCCTGATTCATTATTTTTTCAGACAGAACACACAAGAATAAAAAAAAATCAGAATTGACGTTCATCTTCACAGGTGCACAAACAATTTTGTTGTGTTTTGTGATGCACGTTGACATTTTTATAACTCAGATAAACAAAAGGCTGAATTGCAGTTCCACGTGGACATGAAAGTAATTAAAACAATACCAATTATTTAAACATCTTTCAAGTTTTGTTTTCAACAGCACTAGTACGTTTTTAATGACGTGAAACACCCTGATCACAGAACATTATTTGTATTTGAGCTATGAATCCAAGTTCTTACAGAAACATTTCCAAAGAAGGTGAAAATCAGCTATGGTGGAAATGGCCAAATGTGAGATATCAAACACACCACATTTGGGTGGGGGAGCCGCAGGAGGAGCCATTGTGTAGGGGAGCATGACCATCTATGACACAAAACACATGGCTCCAGCAGAAGTAGTTCAGAGAGGCTGCCATGCAGCAGCCCTTATCCTGGCCCTGGGTTGAGATAGAGGACTTCCATCTCTCCAGATCAGTGACATGTAGTATGGAATACAGTGACTCAGAGTTAATCTAGGGTCAAGTTCACTTGTCCCACATAAATTAGGTAATGCTTCAAGAAAATGTGCTCTCAGTATTGAGACAAGTGCATCCAAGATCACATGTTGGGAAAAATTTAATACTCCAGAACAAGGATGCCCTCTGACATAACAACTTGTGTGGTCTCCTCTCATCATTTATTTCTCTCACCATAGTTTAATTCTGGCTATTGGACTGACAATGTAGTATTGTGAATGAAATGTACTTTGGGAAATTTGTATGCACATTTTATAGCTTGCAAAATAAATAAAACAAAGGAACTTGGGCCTCAGAGGAGAGGGAAGTAACTAGCTGTCACTTTCAATGTCTCATCCAAAATCAAAGGATTTTAAATATGTACAATGAGATTTCATAGCCCAAATGTTCTTTAAAAATTGCAATAAGAAGTGATATGGCAACTGCTTGAAAAGTTTTACTGATTCAGTGCACAAAAGAAAGGATGATTTTTTGCTATTAGTATGTGTCCATTGGGATGATGCTGGTTAACACTTGAAGAGCATAGAAATAATTCCAGTCAAACTTCCCACAGTATTTTAGTTTTCATTAAGAAAATGGAGGCTCTCCTTTCTGATGGCTTTGTTTACAGTTTGTACAGGAAGTCAGAGAATGAGACACTATTAAAATGCTTTCCATGTAAAGCTATCATATATATTAGTAGTAATAATTAGCTCTCATTGGCAATTTGCAGCAAAATGTCTCAAATAACTTTCTGAAGGAAGGTGAGCAACATTACTTACATGTTATAAATGAGGCACAATGATATAAAGGCAAACACCCCCCCCCTTTATTTTTTCCTCCCCCCTCTCCTTTCTCCCCTATTTATTTTGGATCTGCACATCCTAAACTCAAAACTCCAGTCGTCTGAAGAAGTGGGCTGTGCCCATGAAAGCTCATTAACACCATCTGTATGTTTTGTAGTCTATAAAATGCTATCAGACCATTTGTTGTTTTTTAAGTTTATTTCTATCAGTGTTCATTACTTTTGTTTGCCTTAACTTTTTGCAAGCCTAATATTTGCCATTTTCTCATTTTTTCATAGATACTGAGTAACTACAGCATTGATAGACTTCATGTGGGGCTATGGGTGATCAACTCTGAAAATAGTTGTCTAAATTTGCGACCTAAAATGTATCCGTCATGATCGGAAATGTGGATTTTGCAAAAGTCAGTGCTATATAGAGAAGTACATATTAATTGGTTTTAAGTTTTTTAATTAAAATATATCCTCATAGTGTATCAAAAATTCACTTCTGCATTATTGATTATGGGTTTTTTTTTACTGTAGTTACAGAGCACAATGTGAATCTACTAATCTACAGCAGTTTGTCATCAGAAGTAGATTTCTTCATGTGAATAACAATGTTGTCTTGTACACCCTGGGAATATTGTATGTTTACCAAGTGCTGCATTTTTTCTTATGAGAAGTTATTTGAGTAGTGTTTGCAGTTGAACTCTCAACCCTGGAAGATGCTCCTTTCTGATAACTTTGTGGTATCTTATGCATTTTAAATGAGACAGACTGTTCAGACTGTCACCTTCCATAACTTAGCAAAGAAAAGGTGGAAACTTAAACCATGTTGCCTATGTGTTTGGTTAGCTGCAGGGTGGTTTTTCTTTTCATAGCAGAAGTATAGGAAATAAGAAGTATGTAGGACAGGGGTGGGGAACCTTTTTGGGGTGAGGACCACTGACCCACAGAAAAATCAGTCAAGGACTGCATACAAGTGAGAAAAAAAACAAAAACCACCCCTCACAATCATGGGCTCCCCAATGTTGGGGGGAGTCCTGAGCCTCAGGAGCCAGATCCAGGCAAGCCGGGGGCTTCATCCAGTGCCTGGGCCTTACATTCCCCACCCTCATGCAGGAAACTGCATTTTAACTAATCTAATCACTTTCCTGAGCAAAACCAGCATGGACAGTTAATGTTGAAACATCCAGTTGAAAGTATAGTGAGCTCAGATGTGTAACTGAAAAAAAAAGAGCAAGTAAATGAATAGTTGATTGCTCAGACTGACCATTTTTTGAGGCAGAAAATGATGAAATAAGCTGGTGAAATCCAGTTTCAGAAAGGGAAATGCCAGCCAACATGTTGCAAAACTTCTTGAAAGACTGGCTTAATGGAGGAATGTTGATCTTGTGGCTAATGGAGCCATATTTTTGCTTTGTCTTTAGGCCTACTGTAATAAATTAATATTAATAATAATGGCACTGGACTGGGCCTCAGGAGATCTGGGCTCAAACTTCCCGTGTATTCTTGGGCTCTTAATGTCTCTGTGTCTCAGTTCCCCATATGTAAAAAGGTGTACAAGTGTTTTGCTGCGTCACAAGGGTGTTAAAGGGTAAATTAATTACAGTATGTGAAACACTCAAAGATTGGGGAAGAAGGCCATATAAACACATGTCCTAGACGAACAAAGCAAGGGATTGATTGGTTGCTTTAATGAAAGATCTTTAATGCAGATATGAGCATTGATGTTCATTGTGTGTCAAATCTTTCATTTTAACCAAGTAAGTATTTGAGCAAAATTACATCGACTGCAAGGATCTGGCCCTTGGGCTATGAAGATAGAGTCCAGAATTTTTCCCCATTTTATCAAAATGTACATAAACACTTTTTTCCCCCACTAGCCTTTCTTCTGTACAAACTTCTCCAATTTGAAGCATTCTATATGTTCACTTCTTATTGCTCTTCATGAGCATAACATATTTTTTAAAATAATTGTGGTGTATTGGTGAGTATTGTTTGGAGTTTGAGGGAAAATATATTTCCCTAGATTGCTTTGTTTGATGTTGTTTTACTGCCCACTTTAAATTATTGTTTCCATGGAGACTTCTTCCCTTTCAGCAACTTGTTTTTTTTTTCAGTAGCAAATTATTATTTTTAAATAAACTAGTTAATTGAATAAAGTCAAGACAAGGAACTTAACCGGATCATTTATCTAGCCAGGGTTTTTTTAAAAAATCAGGGTTGGTTGGTTTTTTGGGGTGGAGGTTCAAATCTAATTTTTTCATTTGAAATGTCTGGATAAATATTTATTATTTTGAAAATTTTCATTATAAATTGTTAAAGATTTGTTCCCTCTGGGTTTCTTCATCCCACCTCTGTGTGATTGGAGAAAAATTGGAGAGAGAAAAATTCATTTTTAAAGGCACCACTTTCTTTTTAATTTTCTTTAAGTGAGATAAAGAAACAATACAACCCTCTTACTTTTTTTTTTTCATATGGCAGACATTCCAAGTGAGACACAAATATATTTCTCACCCTTGATCTACCCTTCTAATTTAGGTTGCCATTGCTTTGATTTCAGGGGAATGAAAAATCCACTTTGCTGTGCTGTAGCTCTGTCAACCTTCCAGCTGGAATAGATGCAACTCAGTTGACAGAAGGAAGATTCCATCTACCTACTGCCAATGTATGGGGAGCTAGCATTCCTACAGCAATGAAAAATAAAACCCCATTCTGTCACCCTAGGTTGGGTCTATGCTACAGGTCTATACTAGCACAGTGCAACACTATAGCTAGGATGCTGTAATCCATGCCATGTAAACATGGTCTTAGTTACTGTTTTCTTCAACTGAATTAAAGAAAGGTAAGAAACAGTGGGAAAGCCAATTTCTTAATTTTTTAATTTTTTTCAGCTAGCACTACTAAAAACATCACAGGTTTCCCCTGAATAATCTATTTGCAGTTAAAGAGTACAAGCCATCCTCATCTTATTCCATCACCTTGTATTGCATGATTTCTATTTTCAATTTGATTCACCCAATTACTGTTGCTATGGCAGTTTCAGCTAGCTGAGATGAGTCACAAAAAGGCCAGCCCTGGCAGTGGATTATTCATGACTAAGGGAAAATGTGTTTTGCCACTCCTGCGTCCCCTTATTGTCTTGACTCTCTTGCAACCCAGGTGTGCCCTACTCTGCTCCTTGCTTCTTGAGCATAGGGGCCAGCAAGTGGTATCTGTGGGCCAGGAATCCAGGTATGAAGCCAGTGATGCCACCATCCTTCTGCACTACTGTAGATGGCCGCACACTTTCAGAGCAAGGTGGATGGAGAGCCGTGGCTAGTAGCTGGGAGCCCAGAGGGGCTGGGCCAGTGTTCCCAGTAAGCTGTGCATTTGTGTGGCCACTCAGGAGAGATTTAAATACCATCCAGTTGATTAGCAGAGTACCCACAGTTAGTTTTTATGTTTCTCTTAGGGCACATTTGCACATGCCTCAGTGCACATAAAAGAACATACTCCACACATGATGGAGAATATACATGTGTGGATAGAAATGATTGGAGGGAACATTGGTTGGGGCTATGAATTGCCATGGCTCAGATCGGGCAAGCCCTGGCCCAAATGATGTACTGGTGGTGCCCCCCGACCACAACGCCTTGAGCAGTCACCCACCTTTGGAATGGGCTGTTGGAGGAACTGCTTCATTCCATTAAATGTGCTCACTTGCTTGGTTAAGCCACATAGCTTCACCACCTCCTTAGACTGACCATCTGGGTCTCCAGCATTCTTGCCTGACACTGTGGGCTTCACTCAGTGAGTCTAACAAAGACAGAGCCCTGCTGGACACTTGTATGCACATAAAGGATTAGTAAGTATTCCTCATCAAGCATTTTCACTGACACTTCCACTCTGCTGTACAAACACTTTGATTTATTAATCAAGTGGAACACCATGTAGGAAGCTTTGAGAGCAGCACAGAGAACTGAAGGTTAAACTCAGCCCATTCTGGTTAACCCAGAGACTGGCCAAGCATCTTCCTTCCATCTGACCTCCTTCAGCAGGCTCTGGGGAGATTCACATCTCATTCCAGCAGCCAGTTTTTAGCACCCACCTCCCCCAGTCCTTTCTTCTAAGCTGAGGAAATGCTGCTCAGACTCCTTAAAGACAGAAGGAGACATCCATATTTCTCTACAAGTCATTGGCTGCTAGATGTCAATGTCTGGATGGCTGGCTTTCCCATGTTGTCCATTAATATGGGATTCTAGGGCCCCAGCACCTACTTTTCCAAAAACCCACTTAATTCCTGACAGCTAGGTGTCATTTGCACTTGTAACTTAGCCTGACCTGAGATCAACCATCCTTTTTCACCCGATAAGTAACAATGCAGAATCTAGGGGAAATTAAAGGCACACATGGGCTTTATAAATATATTACAAAATATTTCCACTTCATCACCAACAGTTGGATGCTTTATGGGGCATTGGGCTGGTACTTAACTATCTCACAGGAAATGGAGACAGCCCCTGAGGGCTTTTTGGCTGTGGAATGCAAGGATAGCTTCTAAAATGTGGTTCAGTTCCCTTCTTACCCCTGCCCCAGGCTGATGGAAAAGGATTTGAATAAGGATTAAAGTTGCTAGCTTTGCTGATCAGATGGACTGGAGGCCATTGCCATGAATGATGTTTACTCCATCTGGTCAGGAAAGTTGGCAGTACTACTAGAGGTAATCATTCGTTCAAGTGAGTGCGCCAGGGAGACTGGTTCTCTCATCCACTGTCCCCAGGAGCCAAACCGAGGCAGGGGATGAGCTCACCACTGCCATCAGGTGCTCTCTGGGTATGTCTATATTGCTTCCTAGTCTGAACTTGGGATGTAAATGAAGCATACCGAAGTTGCTAATGAAGCACAGGATTTAAATATCCCGCACTTGATTAGCATATTCGCGGCCGGTCACCATTTTAAAAAGCCGGGAGCCCGAATTAACTCACTACGTGTAGACGCAGTAATCCAATCCAAAACCCTTACCTCGAATTAACTGTTACTCCTCGTGCAATGAGGAGTAACAGTTAATTCAAGGGAAGGGTTTTGGATCAGACTACTGCGTCTACATGCGGTGAGTTAATTCGGGCTACTGGCTTTTTAAAATGGCGACTGGCCGTGAATATGCTCATCAAGCGCGGGATATTTAAATCCCGCGCTTCATTAGCAACTTCGGTATGCCTCATTTGCATCCCTAGTTCGGATTAGGGAGCAAGTATAGACATACCCTCTCACATAGACACTGTGTAGCAGCAGGCCTAGTGACCAGAAAAAGCTCTGGCCCCGTCCCTTCTGTAATAAACAGATTACAAAATAGTCCTACTTTGTTACAAAAGGTTACAACGGCACCCTTTCCCTCTCATCTGTTTTGTGGGGTTCTACTGGAGTCCAGGAAGTGTGGAGGATGCAAAGGACCTTCACCCCAGCTTACAGGGAGGCATTATAGAGTCCAGGAAACCAGATGAGTACTTGGGACAACTAAAAAGAAAACAAGGGTAGGTGTGATAGTCAAAGGGTCAAAACAAAGGATTTGGAAGGGGACATCAAGCAGAATAGTGCCTACTGCTCCTTGAAAGCACTGAGGGAGTCAGCGGACACTGCCCAGAGGAACTCCACCTGGATATGTGAATGGACAAAGGAACAAAAGCAGGCCCCACAGTCGCAGGTCCCTTCTTTAGCTAACCTGTTTTGTGGGGTCAGTAGGCAGGTATGTAACAATCTCACAAGAAATAGAGGAAGCACTGTGGAACATAAGGTATGTTGGGTACCTGCAAAGTGGTAGAATGTGGTTCAATTTCTCCTCGCTGAGCCTGATAAGAAAGGATTTGCGTTGTCTCCAGTGAATACCCCAGTCACCAACCTATAGGTTAGGCTGATGTGAATTACTGTTTGCAGTTTCTTGAGCCTGTGCCATTTTCATTAGATATTGGGCCAGATGTCATCCAAGAATCCCATTGGAGTCCTGCAGTTTGGGTACCTACTCAGCACATGGGTGTGACTGGTTCATCTCCCCTTTGGCTTGCGCAAGAACTTGAAGAGCTGTCTCCCCTTTCTTGAGTGAATGTCTTAACTGCTGGACTCAAAGGTACTCTGCTGGGGAAGGCTCCCTTTGTCTTTTCTGTTGAAGCCATCCCTCTTTTATTACATATTAAATGGGCCAAAGAAGTCCTTGCAAGAGTCCCCTACAGTCAAGGACTTTGTGTACTGCTACCTAGGTAGGGGATATTCTAGTACAAATCCCATTTCTTCTTACTGAATCTTGATCTCTTACTTCACAAGTGAATGTCCTAATTACTGAACTGGGAAGTATTCCGGTGTGAAAGCTCCCTCAGTCTTTCTTGATGAGGCTAGTCCAATGTCACCAAATAATTAAATATCAATCAGGCCAGCTCTAATCTGTAAATCCTTCTGTAGTACAGTAGTTTTGGTACCTGGTTAAATATCAGGACTTTCTGCTGGGTTGCACACCAAGGTCACTACCCTCCTCTGGCAGTCTCTGAGAGTCAATGATGGGCAATCTGTGTCTATATCCCCTCTCGGTTCCAAGAAGATAATGGCCTCCTGAGAAAGAGACTGAGGTTGAATAAGGATGTCTTACTTCAAAGGACAGTCACCCAGGAGTCAGAAAATCCCTGTGCAAACTACTAGTGAATGGGCAGATGGGAGATTTGAACCAGGATATCCAACAATTGAATCAAGTAGTCTAGTCAGAAAGGGGCACAGATGCCATGGGTGCTCTAGGGCTGGGATACCCCTGGGAAAAATTAGTGGGTGCAGAGCATTCACCAGCACCCAAGGTCTCCTCTCTGCCCCTTCTCCTCTGTGCCTCTCAAGCTCTGATGATCTGCTCTTCCCCCATTTTCCTCTTGACCTTGCCAAAACAAGAATATAAGTGAGGTGGGAACCCTTTAGTTCTTTGCACCAAATTCCAGGTCCCCCACTTATGCTGCAAAAAGCCCCCTTGAAACTGCTTCTCAGTTATTTAAGTGGGGATTTGAACCAACCTCTCCTGCCAGAACTTAACCAAGAGGCTGTATAGAGAGTCTTGCCCTACAACTTGCCAAAAGAACAGTTAATTCGGGGGAACAATTTCAAGCAGTAAGCATTAGGGAACCCATTCTCATTTTGATGGCTCAGATTAGGGCACTCACAGTGGCAGTACAGGATCCCTCTTTTCTTCCTCAGGCAAAGAGAAATATCAGGGCTGGTCTTAGGGAGAAGAGCACTCAAGGCAAATTTGTATTTTGGAACCCTTGCCCCCATAGCCTCCCCCGCTCCACTGCTCATCCATCCCTTCTGGCCCCTGCTGTCTCCCCTAGCTACCTCCCTATTACATGACCCATGCTGCCTCCCCAGGCTCTCCATCTATTCCCTTTGGCTCCTGCCACTTCCCAACCCCAAGTTTCACTGCTTCTCTCCCCACCTTGCCCCGATCTCCCTTTTGCAGCCTTGCAAACCAGGACCACTCTTCTTGCCTCTTGACCCCAGAGAATGGTGGCTTCTGGCCAGGAGCTCACAGATGCCAGGCTATGAACTGCCCAGCCTAGGCAGTTCTGTGGCTCAGTCCTGGTGAGAACCAGCATAAATTAAGTATTGACAGCATACCCTTAGTGTGCAATGGTCGGGGTGTGTCTAGACTACAGTGTTTTGTCGACAAAAGTGGACTTTTGTTGACAAAACTATACCTGCGTCTACACTACCGCTGCGTTCTGTTGACATAACGTTGACAGAATGTGGCAGTTTTGTCAACAGAGGGAAACCTCATTCTACGAGGAATAACAGCTATTGTTGACAGAGTTCTGTCAACAGAAGGCATTATTGCATCTACACTGTTCTTTGTGTCTACACACTCATGTCGACAAAGCGGCTTGCTTTGTCGACAGAACTGGATGTAGTCTAGACGCTCTTTGTTGACAGTTTCTGTCAACAAAACCTCTGTCGACAAAAGCCTGTAGTCTAGACGTATCCTGGGAGATCATCTCATCACCCCCCCCTCTATCCACTGCCCTCCCTCAAATGTGGAAGTAATAAAAATGTACTTAATGTTTGCATTCTGATACTGTCATGGCTCCTTCCCCACTCTGGCATGATAAATGCAGAATTGGGGGCCCGCAAAAGTACTCCAAAACCTTATCTTTCCAGGCTTTGGGAAAAAAACTTCCCCCCCAAAATCTTAACATCCTAAATTTTGGGGATAAAAACTCCACTGCCACCACCCAAGTAATGAGAAGAAAATGAAGGGAGAGATCATTTGGGAAATCTCACCCCTAAAGTACAAACCAGGACACCAAAATTAACCAGGTTAATAAAAAGAAAAGAGAAAGAATTTTTACTATCACCACAATATTCCTGTTGCAAGCATCATGACTAGATGGAAAAGTCACAAAGTAATACTCATGGTGGGGAAACCAAGAACTTAGTTACAAAAGAGAGCAAAGCCCATTTTTAAATGCACAGACATCAGATCCCATTTTCCAAACTATAAAACAAATAAAACCTAATGCATTTATGTAAACTTTACCCTACTTACAGAAGAGTCTTTTCTTGGAGGGAGACATTCTGTCTGACTCCCTCAGTAGCTGAAGAGAAACTGCCCAGGACAAAGCAGGGAGAAACCAAACATCCCTTTATCCTAGTTTGAAATTCCTACCTACATTCCTATTGGCTGAATCTTCCCAACTTAGGTAAGGTTAACCCCTTAGTTCCCAGGCTGCTGGCTAGCCCTCATGATCATGACATACATCATAAAGTAGTGGTGTTGATCAGGCCTGCCAACGGGCGGTGGGAGGGAGGGGAAGCAAAGAGGCTTTTCCCCTATGGTCTGGTGATTTAGCCCTGGATTTAAATCGCTGCTGGACCACTGTGACATGCATGCCATGCAATTTTGAAGGCTGGGGGAGGGGGAACTACAGTGGAGGTCTGGGCGGTGCTGAGGGCTGGCTGCCCTGGCCCAGCCCCTTCTGTCCTAGGTCACTCTGTTCCAGGGGCATGGTGCTGAACCTCTGCACACCTTGCCTGGGGGCCCACAGAAGCTGTCAGTGCCCTTGATGTTGATAAGGCTCTTTGAAGGTGAAGGACGCTTTTTCTGCTACTTCAGTTTCTGCTTATCCCACAGAGATATCTTACAAGAAGTGAAATTTAACCTTTTGACTTTCATGTCTTCACTCTCATGCGTGAAAGAAGGGTCCCTTAAAACATATGTAAAACTGTAAAGGTGAAGAGTTGGTGACTTATTTAATTAAAAATGAAATGCCAAAATCCACTGACTTGGTATTCCACGGAAAACATTTTGTGCAGATGTCTTACTTCTGAGTACATTGCTCATTTTGCTTCAGGGATTTTTTGACATAACCATAGCCTTAGATAACCACGTGTCTCCTGGAATGCAATCAGCTGAAAATCTCTACTAATCTTTCTCTCTCAAGACTGCATAGTTAATGATACTTAGTGACAGTTCACTATTCATAATGATCATCTAGTGGTATTACATTGATTTACAGTTCCTCATTTTTTGTGTGCCCCATAATTGATATAATGCTACCTGTACAGGAAAATGGAAGGAACATGTGTTATGATTATTTCAAATAAACAAACAGACAAACAAAGTCCTTTGCATAACTTATCTTTTATGGGAGAAATAATTTTGTAGTACTACATGAAATGCAGAGGCATAGTGAAGGGGGGACAGGGGATGGTATTTACCCCCAGGTGCCATGCCTGGGGGGCGAGCTGGGCTGGGAGCAAAGTGCATGCTGCTGTGGCCCACATGATGCTTTTGAACAGAGACTGGGAGTTGGCACTAAGTGCTCCCAGCTCTCTACATGCTGCAAGCTGAGGCAGCAGGGCCAGGTGGCAGCAGCGACCACTTTAAAGGTTAGAATACCTTACCCAGCTGTTCCGTTCCTCCCGTGCCTGGCTCGGGGGGGGGAGGGAAGAAGGATTTGATGGGGGGTGCTCCCGGCACTGGATGGGGGGGCTCATTCAGGGGGAGTGGTGAGTGCATTCGGATGCGGGCTCCAGGGGGTCTGACTCAGGGGGAGGGGTGAGTGCTTTGGGATGGGGCATTGGGGAGGCTGTATTTTTAAGAGTTTGTTTGTGGATTTGTGCAAAATAAAACCATACTTCACGATTACCAACATATACCAAATTTTGCATAAGCAATCCTGCCACTTAAATTAGGTGAATGCACTACCTTTTACACTGGAATATGCTGAGTGAAAGGTTTAAATAATTATTTTTGTTTTTCATTAGAAAAAGAAATGTGACTATTATGATTACAGTCCGTAAAAAATATTTGCTAACAAAATTAAAATCAACTTGCCTATTCAACTGTTAGTTTAGTGCAAAGAAAAATTTTACTGTTACAAATCACAAAGTAATTCATTTTAGTTACGGAAAGAGTAATGGAAGCTTTACTTAATAAGAGTTACCTTTTTCAGCTTTCATATTTGTTTGGTTAGTTACTTTTTAAGAATGTATTCACATATTACCTACTAATATGATAAATATTATAAAGAATCAGAATTGATTGCTTGATATCATTGTCTAAAGATTTTTATGTGCAAGTGATTTATTTCAATTTCATTTTTTATTTTGATTTATTTCGATATTTATTTCAACCAACACCAGCATCTACACTAATTAAGAGTTTCTGATTCAAATTTACTATTTATGGTAACTATTCAATAAAGTTAATAGTGTTTGAAGTTGTAATTCTACAAATTTAAAACTGTTCTTTTACTTTCCTTTTGCAAGCACATAAATAAAAAATTCTATGACATATATTTCATTTCTTGAACTTTCCTGTAAGTGTAATCTACGCAAAATGAGTTTGCCAGGTCAATGACAGGCCTCACCTGCTAGTGCTATAATATTATAGAATTCCAAAAGTATTCTGAAATTGCTTTCAGGAAGATATTTGAACACTCTATTGCAGACATTAACTTTGTCGAGGGACATATTTTTGTTTATAGCAATAGCTTTCTCAAGTTCCCGCACATAAAACTTTTCATTCAGTATATTATCTTCATATTTTCCCCACTGCATAGTAGTGGTATCCTGGAATGTTTTCTGGTATCCTGGAAAAGCAATGCTGCGTCCAAGGAACTCTTGGACTCTTTCGCCATCCCTGTAAACCTTGTTTTACGAGAAATAAGGGATGTGTTGAAAGAACAGTTTTTTTCTGAAATTTGGCACCATCTAGACACATCAAATTTCGGAAAAGCCTCTTTCAACAGTAAAGCAGAAAATATACGCAATTTGCATATTGTGTTTCTTTTTCCGAATTATCCTTGAAGTCTAGACATAGCCATAGTGGGGTGCAATCATTTTAAACCACTAGAGTGTTTTAGTCAATGAAGCTTTCTAAACATGCACCACTATTATCACTTGTCCTACTTCCCCACATTTTATTTATGACTGTTAAGGTCACATATAATATATGGTCTTATAGCATTCTGCATTATTTCTTGTTATTCTCAGCTTTCTAATGTCCCGCATAGGTTAAATCAAGGAGAGTCAATAAGTGGA